GACTACAATGGAAATAACTACATACCTCAGACCTTATTTAAGAAGTCTTCTGGGGTGCCTGGGTGGTTCAGTCAGTTAAGCATCTGCCTTTGGCTTAGGTCATGATCTCAGGGTCCTGGGATCGAGCCCCATATTGGGTTTCCCTACTCAGCTGGGAGTCTGCTTCTCCCTCTCCCTCTGCCCCTCCTCCTTGCTCATACTCTCTCTCTCTCTCTCAAATAAATAAAATCTTAGAAAAAAAAAAGAAGTCTCTCAAAAACAAAACAAAACCGCTCAGGTGGTTAAGTGTCTGACTCCTGATCTCAGCTCAGGTCTTGATCTCAGGGTCATGAGTACAAGCCTCACATTGGGCTCTACAATGGGTATAGACCCTACTTAAAAAAAAAAAAAGAATTCTAAAAAAAGAAGAAGAAGAAGGTAGCAGGAGGGGAAGAATGAAGCAGGGGAAATCGGAGGGTAGACGAACCATGAGAGACAATGGACTCTGAAAAACAAACTGAGGGTTCTAGAGGGGAGGGGGGTGGGAGGATGGGTTAGCCTGGTGATGGGTATTGAGGAGGGCACATTCTGCATGGAGCACTGGGTGTTATGCACAAACAATGAATCATGGAACACTACATCTAAAACTAATGATGTAATGTATGGGGATTAACATAAGAATAAAAAAAAAAGAATTCTCTCACGTCCTTGATTTCAAACTATATTACAAAGCTATAGTATCAAAACACTATGGTATTAGCATAAAAGCAGATGTATAGATCAATGTAATAGACTAAAGAGCACAGAAATAAACCCAAGCGTATATGGTCAATTAATTTATGACAAAAGAGGTAAGAATATACAATGGGAAAAGGACAGTCTCATCAATAAATGGTATTGGGAAAATTGGACATCCACATGCAAAAGAATGAAACTGGACCACTATCTTACACCATACACAAAAATTTACCAAAATGGATTAAAGACTTGAATGTAAGACCAGAAACCATAAAACTACTAGAAGAAAACATAGGCAGTATGCTCCTTGACGTCACTCTTGGTGATATTTTTTGGATCTGACCTAAAGGCAATGGCAACAAAAGCAAAAATAAACAAATGGGACTGAATTGAACTAAAAAGCTTCTGCACAGTAAAGGAAACCATCAACAAAATAGAAAGGTAGCCTACTCAATGGGAGAAAATAATTGCAAAGGATATATCTGATAAGGGGTTAATATCATTATATTAATATATCATTATATTGTGTATATATATACACACACAACACACACACAATGGAATACTACTCAGCCAGAAAAAGAATGAAATCTTGCCATTTGTGACAACATGGATGGACCTGGAGGGTATTATGCTAAGTGAAATATGTCAGACAGAGAAAGACAAATACCACAGATTTCGTTTAAACATGGGATCTAAAAAATCAAAACAAACAAATATACAAAACAAAACTCAGAGAATAGATTGATTGGTAGTTGCAGGGGGCAGGCAGGTAGTTGAAAGGGATCAAGAGGTACAAAATTCCAGTATACAATAAGTAAGTCACAGGGATGTAATATACAGCATGATGACGATAATCAATAATATTATATTGTAAATTTGAAAATTACAAAGAAAGCAAATCTTAAAATATTTCTCATCACAAGAAAAAATGTTGTAACTTTGTATGGTGACAGATGTTAACTAGATTTATCGTGGTGATTATTTTGCAATGTACACAATGTGTAATCATTATATTGTATACCTCAAACTAATATAATGTTGTATGTCAATTATACATACATACATACATACATACATAAAACTCCTGATTCTGTCAGGAACCTAAAGATAATAGGGGAGACAAAAACAAGGACATCAGAGGAAATTTAGTCTCTGATACCTACAGTTACAGCAAACAGTAAACACAGCCTAAACCCTAGCTAGATAAACAGGCATCAGAACTAAACTCAACTATGGCAGGGATATTAGAATTATGATACCAGGATTTAAATTAATTATATTAATATGCTAAAGGTGCTAAGGGAAAAAGTGTATAACATGCATGGGAAATTAGATGGTAACTACACTTACAGCAGTGAGCATTTTGTAATGGATATACAGTTGATCCTTGAACAACATGCGTTGAACTGCATGGTTCCACTTACATGCAGACTTTTTTACAGTACTGTAAATGTATTTTCTTTATGATTTTTTTTGTTTTTGTAAAGATTTTATTTATTTATTTGAGAGAAAGAGAGTAAGTGAGAGAGAGAGAGCACAAGCCAGGTGGGGAGAGGCAGAGGGAAAAGCAGACTCCCTGCTGAGCAGGGAGCCTGATATGGGGCTCAATCCCAGGATACTGGGACCATGACCTGAGCTGAAGGCAGATGCTTAACCAACTGGGCCACCCAGGTGACCCTTTTCTTTATGATTTTATTAATAGCATTTTCTTTTCTCTAGCTTTATTGCAAGAATACAGTACATAATACATATAAAATATAAAATATGTGTTAACTGTTTATGTTATTGTTAAGGCTTTTGGTCAACAGTAGGCAATTAGTAGCTAAGTTTTTGGGGAATCAAAAGTTATATGTGGATTTTTGACTGTGCAGGGGGTAGCACCCCAATCCAGGTTATTCAAAGGGTCAACTATAATTGTCAAATCGCTGTATGTACACCTAAACCTAATATAATATGTCATCTATACTTCAATTTTTTTTAAAAGATTTTATTTATTTATTTTGGCAGAGAGAGACAGCGAGAGAGGGAACAGAAGCAGGGGGAGTTGGAGAGGGAGAAGCGGGCTTTCCACCAAGCAGGAAGCCCCATGAGGGGCTCGATCCCAGGACCCTGGGATCATGACCCGAGCTGAAGGCACATGCTTAACGACTGAGCCACCCAGGCATCCCTATACTTCAATTTAAAAAAAAAAAGATCAAATGGGTAATGTAAGCAGAGAGATGGAAACCCTAGGAAAGAATCAAGAGGAAATACTAAATATCAAAAATACTGTAAAGGAAATGAAGAATATTTTTAATAAGTTCATCAATGTACTGGAGATGGCTGAAGAATCTGTGAGTTTAAGAAACGTCTTAACATCTCTGCCATATCTGAGTCTGGTTACGATGCTTGCTCTTTCTACTGTTTCATGTTCATTTTGTCTTTCAGTATGCCTTGTAATCATTGGTTGAAAGCCAGACATGATATGCTTAGTAAAAAAAAAACTGAAGAAAATAGGTCTGTAGTGGGAGGTTTTACATTTGACCAGTTAGGGGTTACGTTGTGTTCTGCAAAAGACTTACTAAATCAAAAACTATGGAGTGGGATCCAGCAATTTGTGTTTTTAACAAGCCCTCCCACTGGTTCTGATGAATGCCAAATTTGAAAACTACTTCTATACCATCACAATTATTAAGACCATGGTAAATTAGGGAAAAGTATAGGTAGAAGAGCATGCACTGGCTTTTATAATAGCTCCAGCATTTGAGAAAGATAAGGACAATTATAAGAAATGTGGAGTTGGTTGGTTTTTGTTAATTATTATAAATGTGCTACAGGAAGGAAAAGACAAGCTCATGTTAGCCAGCTATCTACTCAAGGCATATCATGAAAGCTAGAAATCATCTATGGCAGCCTTTAAAGAGACTTTCAGAACCAGGGTTCCTTTGAGAAATGTTTGATTTAAGACTGAGACAGAGAAAATACAAGGTGAGACTGAAGCATTATGGTACCAGAAAGTAAAGAAATGCTCAAAAAAAAAAGAATAGGGGCACATCAAAAAGACATGGAAGGTAAAGCTTAATTCCCTCCCTTTCCTTTGAGGAATGGCCTAGCCTCAGTAACCTGCTTCCTTAGAGTAGGGAAAGGGAAAAATATTAACTATAAAATGGAAGAACTTGGCAAATGGTACATTTTGAAGTGCTGAACAGTTACCATCTGCAGAAATCATGTGAATATCATGTACCCCCTACAATGATGTGATGAGGACACCTCACCTCAGAGGTATTCTTTCCAAAACCCCATAACACCCATCTAAGCATGAAAAAGTCATCAGACAAACCTAGATTCGGGGACAGTCTATAGGATATCTGATCAGCACTCCTCAAGGCTATCAAGGTCATGAAAAACAAGACTAAGAAATTGCCACGAATCAGAGGAGACTAGGGACACATGACAACTAAATGAAATGTGCTACCCTGGTATGCAGAAAAGAATTAAGAGGGATGCCTGGGTGGCTTAGTCAGTTGGGCGTCTGCCTTTGGCTCAGGTTTTGATCCCAGGGTCCTGGGATCGAGCCCCGCAGTGGGTTCCCTGCTCAGCAAGGGAGTCTGTTTCTCCCTCTCCCTCTGCCCCTCCCCCTGCTTGTGCTCTTTCTCTCTCTCTCTCTGACAAATAAATAAAATCTTAAAAAAGAAAAAGTTAACAAAGCAGTCTTGAGATTGCTATCCTTGGAAAGGTCTGCTTGCAAGGTTGGCCCTTGACTGGTGTCTGGGAACTTAGATTTTGGGGGAGTTCCCACAATTCCCTTGTAAGCATGGCTCATGGTGCCTAAACTGTTTGTACAAATAATACAATTTATGGTGAACACCTGCTTTCCTTCTGAGAGTCTAGAAATTTGGGTGCTTGTTAGCTAGAGGGTACCTGTGTGACTAGTCCTTAATAGAAATCCTAGGCATTGAATGTGCAATGAGCTTACGGGCAGACAATATTTCTGGTTATCACAACTTGTTGCTAAAGAAATTAAACATGTCCTGGGCGCCTGGGTGGCTCAGTTGGTTAAGCGACTGCCTTTGGCTCAGGTCATGATCCTGGAGTCCTGGGATCGAGTCCCATATCAGGCTCCTTGCTCGGCAGGGGGTCTGCTTCTCCCTCTGACCCTCCCCCCTCTCATGTGCTCTCTCTATCTCATTCTCTCTCTCAAATAAATAAATAAAATCTTTAAAAAAAAAAAAAGAAATTAAACATGTCCTGTGTGACTCCACTGAGAGGGGACTCTTGGAAGCTTATACTTCTGGACTTACCCCAGGTACCATTTCTCTTTGCTGATTTTGTTTTGTAGCCTTTCATTGTAATAAATCATAGTCATGAGGATGACCAAATGCTGATTCCTGAGTCCTGGCAAATCATTAAACTTGGGGGTGGCCTCGGGGAACCTTGACACAGCTGGATTGGATCCTGGGGAAAAAAAGAGAACATTAATGTAAACATTGGTAAAATCCAAATAAAGTTTGGAGTTTAGTTAATGGCAATGAGCCAATGTTGGTGTTTTAGCTTTGACAAATGTATCATGGAACTGTAAGATCTTAACAATGGGAGAAACAGGGTGAGGGGTAAATGAGAACTCCCTATACTATCTTTGTAAATCTAAAATTATTCCAAAATAAAAAAATTTATTAAAAAAGTAACACTCAGGAGGGATGGGGTGGCTGGGTGATGGACATTGGGGAGGGTATGTACTATAGTGAGCGCTGTGAATTGTGTGAGACTGATGAATCACAGACCTGTACCCTTGAAACAAATAATACATTATATGTTAATAACAAATTTAAAGAAAAGTAACACTCAAACAAAATGCTTTGGAAATTCATAAAAAAGACTATACCATTCATATACCATTCATCAGAAAGAGAGAGAGGGAGAGAGATTATCTAAACTGAAACACAAAGAAAAAAACGAGAGGGAGCAAGTGAGAGAATGCAAGCATTTTATTTACTGTAGCCACAGGGACAGATTGTAGTTTTTTTTAAAAAAAATCAAACTCAGGATCCAACTGTGAGAGCAGCAGAATTTAGAACGTTGAATTCATAACCCATAGCATGTCTCCTAAACTAAAGTCAGGGCCTGGAAGGGAGAATAATGAGACCCTGAGATCTAGAGTCACTTGGCCTTCCTATGGGATAGTGACCTCCCTTTGAAAACCATGCAGAAATCTCACCTGAGAAGATGCCTTCCAAGATGCTAGATTCCCTTAAGATTTGCCACAACTATCTCCAGTGTTTCTAGACCAATAACTAGAGTCAACTTTCATCATGGCCTTACTGGGGGAGCACTGTCCCTGCTTTGGAATAAAAAAGATTGTTCACCAAACACGCACTGGCAGAATTGGAAGAACACACCTGGCTGGGGATGGATCTTGGTATATGTTTAGGGAATGTGCTCTGAGGTAAGGATATTCTAGATCTGTTGAGTGTAAATCCAAAATAACCAAGAAAACCCTAAAGAACTGAATTGAACTGAAATTGATAAGATTATTTTCTGTTACCAGGGATCCCCTGTTATAGGGGCACAAAAGAGGTTATATCACAGAAAAATGTAAAAGTTGCATTTCTTTACACAGCAGAATTTGTGAGCTGTCAGTGACATATCTTTTAATTCTTCAATAACTTCATCAGGTGAAGTTGCAGTGAATAATCTTTGTCTCCTCTTGTTCCTAACACAGAGTCTGGCTCTTAGTTACTATTTAGAAATTTGCTCATTTAAGGAACTCACCAGGAGACTGGGTACACACAGAGAAAGGTAACTACCTATAGATTCTTGAGTATGCTTGCCATTCAAGGTGAGAAGTGTCTTTAAAATGTGAATGCTTTCCAAAGGCTAATCCTCAGCCCTTTGTTCTTAGTACAAGCTCTTCTACAATATCTCTTCTAATGGCTTTCAAGCGCTGCAATAACCTGCTAAACTGTTCTGTGAGATTCTGCTACTTCAGATACATGGTGCATGCTGATGTCAGATTACCATCCAGATACTTTTTTTAGTATGTTACTCTGCTGCTCAAATTCTTTAAATGAGGGGCGCCTGGGTGGCTCAGCTGTTAAGCGTCTGCCTTCGGTCATGATCCCAGGGTCCTGGGATTCGAGCCCCACATAGGGCTCTCTGCTCAGCGGGAAGCCTGCTTTCCTCTCCCACTCCCCCTGCTTGTGTTCCCTCTCTCTTGTCTCTCTCTCTCTGTCAAAAAAAAAAAAAAATCTTTAAATGAGTATTTAGGGCCTTACATGCTAAAATTAAACCATCTTAGCTTCTTGAAGACTTTTCCCAATCTGTTTCCTCTTTTTCTAGTCTTATTTTCCATTCCAACTCTAAGTCTTAATCCTAGAAAGTTTCTAAACATATCTTTAACATCCTAGGTTCAGTGTTTTTTTTTTTTGAAAACCAGCTCCCTTCACCTGCAAATCTTTATTTGTGCACCAAGTTTATAGAACATGCAACCACCTTTCTGAACTATTTCATGTGTAAGGGTTCTCTGGTTGTAAATGCTTTTATTTGACCCGTTGTCAAAATGTGGAAATAATTCTTAACATTTAAAAATCATTGAAAAATTTTAAGTTCTAGTAGGGCCCACACTTCAACAAATGACTAAAGTTTACTAGCAGCCGCCATCTTTGGATATGTGTTGTTCAGTTGGATAGTCACAACTACATTGGAAAAATATTTACTGAACACCCATTACTTGCCAGACACTCTTCTGGATGCTGGGGATAAAGCAATGAACAAAACTGGTCATGGAGTTTATATGCTAAAGAGGAGGGACAGAAAACATAAGTATACGACATATTAGGAAGTGATAAATGCTATAGATCGAGCAAGCAGGGGACAGGGTTAAGAGGGATAGGACTTAGACAGATGGGACTGATGGCATCTTGAGCTCTTCATTTGTTTTGACCCTGATTTATTTGGAGCAGAGGCATTGTAAAAAAAAAAAAAAAAAAAGATGTCATGTAGGTTGTCTAAAAATAAAATGCATTTAAACTTAAAAAAAAAAAAGAGGGATAGGGAATTTCTGGTTGGGAAGCGCACCTGCACTTTTCTATTCACTTAAATAACTGGCTGGCTCCTTCGGAAATTTGATTTGTGGCCCCTAGCAGAATTCTAATACACTGTCTTGCGCATGCTATACACTGGCCCTAAAGAACTGTCAGCAGGTTGAAGGCAGGAAGTGTGTGCCTCATTCGTCTTTGGATTCCCAGAGTCGAGCAGTGTTTTCAGGGCGAAAAGTTAGGGAATCCCCACAGAGCTATAGTTACTTCGGCCACTGCTTTCCAGGGTGGTTATTCCAACAGGGGTAGACGCCGAGGCTCCATCCGTTTCCAGGGCAAGCGGACTGTGACGCAAGCGCAGCCACTAGTCTGCCCTCGAGGGATCAGACTGCATCTTAGGAACGAATTAAACGAGCGAGAACGAGAGCCTCTGAACGCGGAAAACGCCGCACGACCACGCCCCTTCAGTGTCGCCGCCCGCAAGGCGGCTTCCGGGCCTCTAGGGTCGCCCAGTTCTAGGCGCGACAACTTCCGGCCCCGAAGGTCCCCTGCTCCGTGGCTTGCCGGGGTCCTAGCGATGGAAAGGTGGCCGCGGCGGCCGCCTGACACCCCCCTCCCCCCAACGGAAGCCTGGGACAATGGCTGCTGCCTTTTCCGGGGAGGCGGCGGCGACAGGAGCGCTGAAAGGATACGCACGCCGGCGGGAGCTCGTTCCGGGAAGAGAATTAGGCTGGAGCTCGGGGGTGGAGTGCGGACCCGGAGCTGGCCCGTCAGGCGGGAGCCGGGCAGGTGCGGTGGCGGAAGTGCGAGGACGCGGTCGGAGTGGAGCCGTCTAGGAAGCGGCGGCCGCGGGTCACCCAGCCTGGAGCAGCCGCCGCCCCACAGCCAGACCGCAGCGATTAGGGTTCAGGCGACGGAAAGATGCCTCTGTTCACCGCTAACCCCTTCGAGCAAGACGTGGGTAAGTGCTGGGCACGGGCTCGGGCCGCTGTTTGTCTTGCTAGAAAGTGGGCGGCGGCGACTCCGGGGACTGGAAAGCCAAGCAAAGGGAGAGAAGGGGGCGGCGCCGCTGCCTCGCCGCCCGGAGTTTTCAGGGGGCTACCTTGACGCGTCGCTAGCGGCCTGGGGCGTGTCTCTTGTACACCTGAGGTTGGAGTCCCCGAAAGAAGATTTTTTTCCCTCGCCGAGCGCCGGAATAGGGAAGAGCCTGTGGCTCGCTGGGGACTGGACCAAGTAAGCAATTGCAGAGTTGATGATATAAACTTCCTGCTCCGTCTACAATTGGTTCATCACCACTCCCTCCCTCAACTTGTAGATGATGCAGCGGTGGAAAGACCCTGCTGTCTGAGGCAGCCCAACACTAGAGACCTCGACTTGCCTCCATTCAATAGGAAAGCACTATTTCACCTCGGTCCTCTACAAACGCGTCCAAGCTCTGATAGCACAGCTTCAGAATTTATCTACAAAGGTTCGAAGTGTTACTCTCTATCCATGGATGGCGCCAAGTGCTCCGAGATGTTTTGTCTTAGGGTATGAAAAGGAAAGCCCTAGGGCGCCTGGGTGGCTCAGTTGGTTAAGCAACTGCCTTCGGCTCAGGTCATGATCCCGGAGTCCTGGGATCAAGTCCCACATCGGGCTCCCGGCTCAGCGGGGAGCCTGCTTCTCCCTCTGACCCTCTCCCTTCTCATGCTGTTTCTCTCTCCCTCCCTCTCTAATAAATAAATAAAATCTTTAAAAAAAAAAAAAAGAAAGAAAGAAAAGGAAAGCCCTAGGATCTCAAAATAGTTTAGAACAACTACTGTCTTATTTGTTGGAGTTGTAAGAGCGATGTTTTTAGTGACTGTTGAATGAAAAGAAAGATGATAGGATATGAGAACTTATTTTGGGCACTAAAAGAACAGTGAAATAAACTGGCCTTCCCCCCAGTGACTCCTAAGGTCCCTGTGTGGCTTAGTGGATCACAGTTTAATATTACTCTAGAAAAGGAGGCGCTGCTGTTCAAACAGAAAACACTGCCGTGTATAGATTATTTCATTGGCAGTGCCACCAATCACAGCTTCAAGGACTTGTTAGTTCAAGTATGATTGAAGTCACTATCCAAAAGACAGTTGGAGGATAAAAGGTCAAGTTTGATTGAGGCCCACCAGTAACAACAACAACAACTACTACTACTACTACTACTTCTTTTTCTTCTTCATCTTTTCCTTAAGGGGGGTGCAGGAGAGAGTATCTCAAGTGGGCTCTGCACCCAACACAGCCTCGATCTCATGACTCTGAGATCATGACCTGAGCTGAAATCAAGAGTCAGATGTTCAACCAACTGAGCCACCCAGGTGCCCCCCACCAATAACTTCTTTTAGACATGTGAATGGGGGACACCTGAGTGGCTCAGTCGCATGAGCCTTCAGCTCAGGTCATGATTTCCAGGTCCTAGGTTCCAGCCCTGCATCAGGCTCCCCACTCAGTGGGGAGTCTGCTTCTTCCTCTCTCTCTGCCCCTCCCTACTGCTCTCTCTCTCAAATAAATAAATAAAATCTTAAAAAAAAAAAAAAGACACATGATGGAATTAGTAGAAAAAGTGGAATGAAATACTATGGAGTTTAAATTGCCCTTAAATCCATATCACAGAAGAAAAGTTATATATTACATTTTTCAGAACTGAAATCTTTTAATTTGAAATAGTTAAGTAATATAAGCAAGTTATTATTTAACGTAGGATGTCTACAGGAATATGTTCCTTTGCAGTGTCATTGCCTTTTCACTTAACCTTTTTGATTCAGTCAGATTTTTATTACCGTTGGGGTTTTTTTGTCATTCTTCTGTTCACTTTTCATTCAACAAACAACATTGAATGATTACTGTGTGTATCTGTATTGTGTTAATTTCTGGGAACACAAAAATTTAATAGACTGCTCTCAAGGAACTCTCAGTCTAATGGAGGATATGTACATATGTAAAATGATAATTGTAATATAATGTGATAAATATAGTACTGGAAATACACAAGATGCTTTACATTCTTTCTTTCTTTAAAAGTCATCTTCCCTGGGCACCTGGGTGGCTCAGTTGGTTGAGAGGCTGCCTTCAGCTCGGGTCATGATCCCAGAGTCCTGGGATCGAGTCCCACATCGGGCTCCTTGCTCAGCAGAGAGCCTGCTTCTCCCTCTCCCTCTGTCTGCCTCTCTGCCTGCTTGTGCTCTCTCTATCTCTGTCAAATAAATAAATAAATAAAATCTTTAAAAAAATAAAATAAAAATAAAAGTCATCTTCCCTGAAAAGACAACAAGGACTTTCAGGCATATGCTTTCTCTGTAAAGATAATTGACATTATCCTCTCTCTCTCTCTCCTCCTTTCTTGACAGCAATTCTGCCTGCAGGAAGTAACCACCTCTAACTATATGTATGATAAGGTCATTTTATAATGAAGGTTTTTTTTTTTAAGATTTTATTTATTTGACAGAGAGAGACACAGCGAGAGAGGGAACACAAGCAGGGGGAGTGGGAGAGGGAGAAGCAGGCTTCCCGCTGAGCAGGGAGCCCGATGCGGGGCTCGATCCCAGGACCCTGGCATCATAACCTGAGCCGAAGGCAGACGTTTAATGACTGAGCCATTCAGGCGCCCCTATAATGAAGGGTTTTTAAAGGTGAAACCAGGGGCACCTGGGTGGCTCAGTTGGTTAAGCGACTGCCTTCGGCTCAGGTCATGATCCTGGAGTCCCGGGATCGAGTCCCGCATCGGGCTCCCTGCTCGGCAGGGAGTCTGCTTCTCCCTCTGACCCTCCTCCCTCTCATGCTCTCTGTCTCTCATTCTCTCTCTCGCAAATAAATAAAATCTTAAAAAAAAAATAAAAAATAAAGGTGAAACCACATTCCTTTCATCGACCTCCTTCACTGGAGGTCAAGCATTCTTGTCTGACGTCATTCATGTGGGGAAGCAATTCTTCCCTGAGACCTTGAGAAAAAGCTGTAGTGGGTCAAGATGTCTACGAGGCATTCATAAGTTGATGATGGTATATGACTTGTCAAATGGAAGCAGGCTACAGGCTAGGAAGTAAGGATCTCCAGCAGGCTCCTATTTTTTTCTTAGAGTCAGATCCTACAATCCTTGACGTGTATGTTAGCTATGGTAGCATTAGAGCTCTTTAAATATTTTATTTGATTTCTTCAAATCTGGATTTTTGCTTTGTTCAATAAAATTCTTTTGAAGCTGTGTCGAGCAAAAAAAGAAAACATATCTACACATATCCAACTATTCTTCCCCCACCTCCACATCTTAAGGTGGGTGTGTAGGGTTCTTGAGGTGGAGATTGGGGCAGCCATTCTGAGAGAATTAAAGAGGAAAGTGAAATATGAGGGACAGAGCCACAGTAGGAAGATTGCGTAGATAGTGTTAAAAAGGAAGATGTCATTTCCCTATATTTTATGCCAATTTTTCCAGTGTCGCTTCATTGCTTCCCAAGTCATGCCTTGTCTTTTCTCCAACTCTAGTTCAGTTCTTACTTGCACATCTTTTTTCTCCCTGCTCAAGCCAGACAGCCTTTTTTTTTGGCCATTTTCTGCTTTTGTGCCATTTTCTATTTACTGATACACTTTTTCTTTTTTCAACAACCTTATTATCGCCTTCCTTATAGATATACTAACTTATGTCCTACAAAGCTGAGCTCAGATTCTACCTCTGTAAAACATTTAATGACATAGTGGATTGAAGTGTGAACTTTTATCTTGAAAGGAAACTTTTTTTTTTTTTAAAGATTTTATTTATTTATTTGATGGAGAGAGAGGCAGGGAGAGGGGGAACACAAGCAAGGGGAGCAGCAGAGGGAGAAGCAGGCCTCCTGCAGAGCAGGGAGCCCAATGCGGGGCTCGATCCCAGGACCCTGGGATCAAGACCTGAGCGGAAGGCAGACGCTTAACGACTGAGCCACCCAGGACCAAAAGGAAACTTTTTTTAAAAAAGGATTTATTTATGTATTTGTGAGAGCAGGGGTCGGGGGGCAGGTGGAGAGGCAAAGGGGGAGAGAGAGAGAACCTGAAGCAGGCTTCACACCCAGTGCGGAGCACAACTTGGGGGCTTGATCTCACACCTCAGCCGAAATCAAGAACTGGTTGCTTAACCAACTGAGCCACCCAGGTGCAGTGAAAGAAGACTTTTTAAGTGAAATTTGAATGAATATATTGCTGTGTCTTTGTCTTGTGTTAGAAGAATGTAACTGTGAGGTAGCTTGGGCTTTTGGTCCAGGGATCTTTTTCTCCAGTGAAATTTTATAAGAAATGCTTAATAGGAGGGTCTTGCTGGCTCAGTAGGTGGAACATGCAACTCTTGATCTAGGGGTCCTAAGTTTAAACCCCGGGGTGGGTTTAGAGTTTACTTTAAAAAAAAAAAAAGGAGGGTGCCTGGGTGGCTCAGTTGGTTAAGTGACTGCCTTCGGCTCAGGTCATGATCCTGGAGTCCCGGGATCGAGTCCC